TCCGTTGGAGACTATGAGAAAGGTCAAGCTGCTTCAGGGACAGACCTCCTAAAGATACTTGGGAGATATTTCTTGGGTGTTAAGCATTCCCAAAGTGTAGCAATAGAATGGGCAACTGGGAGATAAGGAAATATAAAGTGGAAGAAAAAAACGTAGACTGTTTCTGAGGAATGTTTCTCCCCTCCCCAAAAGTAACCTTCAACATTCAAACTCTTAAGCCTCAGAGAAGATTTTCATTGTCAAGAAGTTTCCCAGACGCCCTGCTCCCTTATATAGTTTCTACTAGAACTCTCTGTCACTTGTAATCTGCTGATTAGGGTTAACGTATTGTGTCCTGATATGGCAGATTAAAAATGAAATCAATAAATGCCTAAAACAAATGGGCTTTTGAGATGTCCTATTCAATCTGAGTCTTTAAGGGTGAGGTGAGAGGTGGAGGAAGGAAATCAGGACGGGGGGTGGGAAAAGGACCACTTAAGCAATCAATTTCCATCCAAAATATTGTGTGGACCAAGCGATTTCAAGGTATCTATCCTTCCTTTTTCAGAGATCTGCCTTAAGTAACAAGAATGGCCAAAAGAGTTTGTGCTGCTGAGACCCTTTGGGGTTTATTGCGTCCATGCGTGTGTGTGTGTGTGTTTGTGTGTGTGTGTGTATTTTTCCATTCATTTGTTAAAATCATACTTTTGGGCAAGTGAAGGAATCCATCGCATGAGATATTTAAATATTCAAGATGTGAACTTGTCTTTCTGAAGGATATTTAAACAAAGTGAGGGAGCCAGGGGCCCAAATCTACTCGATTCCTAGTCTCTTGAATCCTGTCCTACTTGACAGTAAACTGAAGGTAAACTTTGCCCTGAGCTGCCTGTCCCCTCCCTCCATCCTGTTGGTTGTGATTTCTGGGACCTCACCCGTTAACTCAGAGTCATCACTCTCAAGAGGTGGAAAAGAGATCTCTGAGGTCATTTCTGCTCTGTTGCAGTGTTCAGAGTTGTCCCCGCTGACTATGTTTCCCATGTAAATAACCTATGTTATTAAGGTGCAAATTGCAACTTTTAAGTAATGATTGCTAATAGTCTAATGTTTACTGCCACACAAGGACATTCATGAAAACAAAATCTGCATTATTCATCTCCATATTAAATAAACAAAATAAATTGAGGGAGCTGTTCTTTCTTGCAAGACTCTCCTCAGATCTGGGTGATCAGAAAGCCTCTAAGAGTCAGCGAGAAGGAAACATCTAATCGCTTTGGGTGGGCAGGGGCAGAATCCTATAACTTACATATATATTAGATATTCACAAGATAGGCTCACAAAAGATTTTGTGTTCTATTGCAATTGGCTGTCATTAATATAAAAACAGTTCAGGATGGTGAAATAAAATATGTATTTTATATGCGTGCGCACAGAGGCTGAGATAGGCTGTAGAAAATCAAGAGTTAGATTATAAGTCTACAATTTTAAATTTTTAACCACTCTGCATCCTGCAAAATGCAAACAAATCAAAACCCCGTTCTGTTTTATTTTACTTTCCTGCCATTTTCTCTATCTTCCTTGAAATGCATGGAAGGGAAAAATGCTGGTACTGAATCCCGCAATATTTTCAGGTAATAGTGGATGCATTTTAATGGTGAGTGAAATATACATCCAAGGAAGCAAGCATGCACACACAACACAAACCCCTGGGGTACTGTAGGCTGCTTTCTCAACTTTTTTTTTCTTGCCCTAAGTAATAGTATGGTGGAATAGCATAGCTTAAGAAAGCCAGGAAGAATGACATTTCAGAGGGAAATACTCTGATTTAGCTATTTCCTTAAAGAGAATTGTCCCCTCACATCCCTTCCCCCTGAAGGGGGAGGAATATAACAAATAAAGACTAAAATTCCTCATCACTTACAATATCATGCTGTTTATTCTGTTTAGATACTTGCTTTAGTAGAAAGTTCTGTAATTGATTCCTTGAAACATGGAACTTAAAATTAATAATACAAAGAAATCAAATTGCCTGGAACAGTTCTTGGGGAAAAAGAGCGCTCCGAGAGAGCCTCAGCTCTGATCCACTCACAGGCTTTTTCTATTTCCCATTATTCATTAATCAAGCTAGAAATCAAGCTTTCAACATCAGTCCTTGGGTGTAATTACTTACAGTTGTGCATTGTGTTTAATTCTAAGCAGTGATAAAAGTTAGTATGGCCATAATCTTAGAACCCACCTTCTCCCCTTCCCTGGATGTTAACTGGCTACAGAACCCTAAAGTGGCTAACTTTACTTGTGAATAACCACTTCAGCTGAAATAGAGTAGGGCATTGATGACCTTAGCTGAAAAGAAGAAACTGCATGAAAAACTGTCTCCTCTATTAATATGTGAGCAAATAAATAAGGTAAGAGGGCCCTCACTGTGTACGAAATGAATTATCCTCTTTCAGCTTAAAAAGGGTTTCCCCTTCTGGTGAAAATAATAAGAATCATACAAAACAAACATACAAAGACAGTAGGAATATAATAGGCCAGAAAACTGAAACTCTAGTTATAAGTTTCTAACACACACACACACACACACACACACACACACCCCCCAATAAGCTAGCCAGCACCAACAGATACAGTGTAATGAAAAGGACCTAATTTAAATAATGTGATACAGTGTTATGTTACGTACACCTGGATCCTTATCGATCGGAGGATAATTATAATCAAAGTCGAGCAATTCTGAGCAATGCACTTTTTGTAATGAGCTTACTAAAGGAGACATGTCCAGTCATTCTGGTAATTTAAATTACTGCCTAGTTGTTGATAGTCTTTACCGGAACAACAAGGAAAAAAAAAAAAGAGTAATTTTCAGGGCAGTATCACTTCTTGCTGGACGGTAGCCCAGGGTTCTCTTTCGGGACAACAATAAGGATGTTATCTCTATAATGTAGCTACACTTAAACTTATGTTGCCAGAACTAGATGCAGCAGGCTCACTCTTCCTGGGTCTCAAAGGCCATTGAACACATTCACAGGCTGTCAGATTGCAAAGCAGCCTAAGTTTTAGGAAATAAGTGAGTTCAATGCAGAAAGAGACAACTGTAGGAAAGAGACACTGTTTTCGAAAGAAGTAACTAGAGTTGAAAAAAGAAAACTTCCCTGGTGAGGCGGGTTCCAAATACATGCCTCACTAAAAATAGTTTAATTATTTTGCTTTTAGGGGAACGATCAGAAAATATGTGAATCCACACTTGGTCAATATTTCTGCATGCCACTCGAACCAACCTACAAACAGTTAGGGAAGCAATTCTGTGGTCAGAAGGAATGATAACTGTGGATATTTCGAAACACATATATTGCCATTTGGACCCGAATCAGGGGAGGAAGGAGGATGAGCTTGGTGGCTCAACACATTCAGACAAGGGATGCCCACTCTCCTCAGATTCCTAACTAACTTTGGATTTGTTCTAAGGGTGACTCTGCAAAGTTTATGAAAGTGTTCCACCAAACTTCTCCCTATGTTTTGCTAGAGGTGGAACAGAATGAAATGTGGAGGTGGGTCTGCAGAAGGCCAGCCTTACCTAATGTTGGTTAATCAAGAGGGCAAAGACAGAGAGAGAGGAAAAAACAACTAAACGTAAGCTTTTTGCAAAAGCCCTGATTCGACTAAAGGACACAAAGAAATAAAAACGCCCACATTAAAAGCCAAACAAGATAATAATTGTGCATGTCTGGCTCTGAATATAGAGGGCAAGGTTTGCGTCACTGGCACTCTGAGTTACCATGGTGAGTGATTTATTGATATATATCAAGAATGAATAGATCAAAGGCAGCGAGATGACAGGTGATCAATCAAATGTCAAATCAAAACTAGCAATCAAGTGGAAAGCTGATTTTTCAGTGGGTGGGTCTGGCAGAAGAAAAATGAACTTTCTTTCATATTACACTTCCGAGAAACAAAACCCCAGCATACTATTAAAAAAGCGATTAAGCAACTCCCCCCCCCAAAAAAAAAACAACCTTAGAAGGTCTATTGTACTGATCCATTAACCTGTTCTTATCTTTTTTAGGGGGCAGTAAGGATTCAGATGGACAGTTCTTACAGTACGAATCATTTCACAAAGTTTGCAACTCTCTAGGCAAAGAAAATCCAGAGCTGTTTAAATTTCTATGGGGAATTTCCCCCTCACAACCCCTTTTGCTTTTTTTGAGAGTAGGGAAATTGTTAATTAGATTTCCAAATATGGATCCTTTTAGAAAATATATGCAAAGATCCATCCATTTCCTGAGGGCACTTTGTCCACCTTGGTGATCAACGCTAAACTCCTATTGCTCGCCCCAAAGCCTGCCTGCAGCCCGAGTGTCGGATATGCCTCACACTTCAGCGCCCCAAGCCCCAGTGAGAAGAGACGCTGTCCCTGGAGGCCAGAAGCCACTGGCACTGACCACGCAGAGGGATGCAGGGGTGGAGGTGCTGTCTCCCTACTCCGCACCCCAAATCCTCAATCCGACTTTGGCCCGAGAGGCAAGAAACAGACTGGGAGAAAGTTAGGGGTGGGGTAGAGGGTGGAGGAAAGAAAGTTTAAGGAGGAAAGGCTTGGTGGGATAGCTCCCCCCAGCCCAACCGGAGCTTAGAAGGGGAGGATTTGGGAGACCAGAGAAGGCGAGAGAGGACGAGGTTATTAGAGGGGCATCCGGCGCAAACTCCCCCGAAAAGCTTAAGTGGGTGGTGCCCCCGGGCACCCAGGGGCAAGGAGGGCGGGCGAGGAGCTCGGCGCACAGGGCAGCCCGGGCTGGGCAGCCCCAAAGCGGAGCCGTTTCTCTTACCTGCCGCCCGCTTGGGTGCCTGCTGTTTTCTCCTCGGCATCCTCTACTTCGCTCCAGTCCCACTTCTGGCGCCCCAGCCCCGAGCCGCGCGCCGGGGCCCGCTGTCTCTCTGGCCTCTCTGGGTCTCCTCCGCCTCTTGCCCGGTGGCTCCTAGGACGTCACTCGGCCTCTGTCCCCCTGACGATCCCCCCTGCAACTCCTCCACCACGGGCCAGAGACCCCCCTCTCTGGGTGGCAGACACGGGTGGCTTGCGCCGGCTGCTTTGAAGTAGAGGTTGGTTCTGCCTTGTTTGTTTGTTTGTTTGTTTTGATTTTTTTTTCCTCTCTCTTTTTTGTTTTTGCTTTTGGATTTTTTTTTTTGTTTTTGCGTTTTTTTTGGTGACTGTTGAGACACTTGATTTCTTTATTAAACATCCAAGACCGGGTTCGGATGGAAGGGACGAGGGGCGCACACGCGCCACACGCACACTCGCGCGTAAAGATAAGGAAAAAAAAAAAAGGCAATCCTGGGAAGGTAGTGGGTTTCTTCTTCTTTTTCTTCTTCTTCCTTCTCCTCTTTCCCTCCTCCTCCTCCTCCTCCTCCTCCTCCTCCTCCTCCTCCTCCTTCTTCTCTTCCTCCTCCTCCTCCTCGCCGATCTCTATGGCGGATTCGTGCCGGGGGGGAGAGCGATCACTCACTGTAGGTTTGTGGCTGCTGTCAGATCCCCGTCTGTGAGTGATATGCGAGAGGACAGGAGCGGGTTTTGGAAAGACAGAAAATCTGGAATTCACTCACTCACACACACACACAGACACACACACAGACACACTCACACACGCACTCACACGCGCACGCACCCCCGCTTCCTCGCACACACACACTCACACCCCCCACATATGCACACACACACAAACACACACACACACACCCTCGCACACACACACAAGACAGGGCGAGGCGATGCCAGCAAACATCGATCCCGCTGAACAAACTGAACATTAACAAACTCCTCCTCCTCCTCCTCTCCCCGCGACCTGATGACAGGGAGAAATTTACTCCCCAGCCGCAGAGCGCCAGGCAGCGGGAGCCTATTAAAGGGACAGCGTCCCGCCGGGGAGAGGGGCTGGGGGCGGGGGCCCGGGCGCGACGGCCCAGGCCCCTCCGTGCGCCCTCTCCGCCGGGGCGAGGGCGTGCCCACCGGGCGCGGGGACACCCCTCCGGGAGGAGGAAGGGGCGGGGGCGGGGGGAAAGGAGGTGAGGAGGGAAGGGGTGCGGGAGAAAAGGAGGCAGGGTGATGATGGCTGAACTCTGAAGCTGGGAGGCTGTGGAGGGAGATTCAGGGGGCCAGGTTGGCTGACCAGCAGGGACCATGCCCAATATTAGGAGAGGGAGAACTTAGGTTTGTTCGGGGCGGGGGAGGGGGAGGGGACCTTATCCAGTGAGGATCTCCATCCTCTAAGTCTTAACCTGCCCCCCAAAATGTCCTCCCCACGCCCCCCTCAATTTAGTGCCCCTGTCCCTTCCACCTTCTCGCTAATCAGTGGGTGGTCACAAAAACAAAAATAGAGGTTGGTTCTGCCTTGTTTGTTTGTTTGTTTGTTTTGAATTTTTTTTTTCCTCTCTCTTTTTTGTTTTTGCTTTTGGATTTTTTTTTTTTGTTTTTGCGTTTTTTTTGGTGACTGTTGAGACACTTGATTTCTTTATTAAACATCCAAGACCGGGTTCGGATGGAAGGGACGAGGGGCGCACACGCGCCACACGCACACTCGCGCGTAAAGATAAGGAAAAAAAAAAAAGGCAATCCTGGGAAGGTAGTGGGTTTCTTCTTCTTTTTCTTCTTCTTCCTTCTCCTCTTTCCCTCCTCCTCCTCCTCCTCCTCCACCTCCTCCTCCACCTCCTCCTTGTTCTCTTCCTCCTCCTCCTCCTCGCCGATCTCTATGGCGGATTCGTGCCGGGGGGGAGAGCGATCACTCACTGTAGGTTTGTGGCTGCTGTCAGATCCCCGTCTGTGAGTGATATGCGAGAGGACAGGAGCGGGTTTTGGAAAGACAGAAAATCTGGAATTCACTCACTCACACACACACACAGACACACACACAGACACACTCACACACGCACTCACACGCGCACGCACCCCCGCTTCCTCGCACACACACACTCACACCCCCCACATATGCACACACACACAAACACACACACACACACCCTCGCACACACACACAAGACAGGGCGAGGCGATGCCAGCAAACATCGATCCCGCTGAACAAACTGAACATTAACAAACTCCTCCTCCTCCTCCTCTCCCCGCGACCTGATGACAGGGAGAAATTTACTCCCCAGCCGCAGAGCGCCAGGCAGCGGGAGCCTATTAAAGGGACAGCGTCCCGCCGGGGAGAGGGGCTGGGGGCGGGGGCCCGGGCGCGACGGCCCAGGCCCCTCCGTGCGCCCTCTCCGCCGGGGCGAGGGCGTGCCCACCGGGCGCGGGGACACCCCTCCGGGAGGAGGAAGGGGGGGGGCGGGGGGAAAGGAGGTGAGGAGGGAAGGGGTGCGGGAGAAAAGGAGGCAGGGTGATGATGGCTGAACTCTGAAGCTGGGAGGCTGTGGAGGGAGATTCAGGGGGCCAGGTTGGCTGACCAGCAGGGACCATGCCCAATATTAGGAGAGGGAGAACTTAGGTTTGTTCGGGGCGGGGGAGGGGGAGGGGACCTTATCCAGTGAGGATCTCCATCCTCTAAGTCTTAACCTGCCCCCCAAAATGTCCTCCCCACGCCCCCCTCAATTTAGTGCCCCTGTCCCTTCCACCTTCTCGCTAATCAGTGGGTGGTCACAAAAACAAAAATCTCCCTTCTGCCTACTTTAAGGTCTAATCACATACTCCTCTTTTTGTTTCCTCTGAAGAATGTTTATTGAGCACCTACTATATGCCTATTCTGGAGACACAGAGGCCACAGAGAAAGAGAAGGTGGTGGCCCTGTTGGTATTTATATTCTAACGGGGGAGTGCAGACAAGTGCCCCCAGCTATCCAATCTTTGCTTAAATGTCCTCCTCTCCCAAAGGTCTACCTCAGTTAAAATATCACACACACACACGCACAAACTCCCTGTCCCATTTCTCCATTTGATTATTCCCCAGTGAGCTGATCCGTGTCACACAGGTTATAGACAGTTTTCTATTCTGTTTATTGTAGGAATTCCCCTCTTGAATATAAGCTCCAATGGGAGGAAGGATTTTTCCCTCTTTGTTCTATTACATTCCTAAGTGTTGGCAAAGCACAAGTCATACAGTAAGTGCCCAATAAAATATTCGTTGAATGAATGAGAAGTAAGCAAGCAAATAAACAGGATACTTTGAGTGATTCCCTCCATGAAGATGTTAAGCTGAGTGCTGTAATAGTGTCAAAGAGGGGGTGGGTGGCTCTAGATTCTAAGAAGGGGTGGGTGGCACAGTAGGAGATGGCATTTGAGCACAGAGAGAGATTGAAACGAACATGTGGTTATTGAGTTCTGCTATCGGCCAGGCACCTTTTGAGGTGTTGGGGACAGGTCTGTGAACAGGGTGAACCTAGACCCTGCCCTCAAGGAGTGCCCCTTCCAGTGACAGGGAAAAGCAACTGAGGGCATTTGATGCAGGCTGGGACTGGAGGTGTTCTTTTTTGCTTTATTATTATTTTTTATTTCAATAGCTTTAGGGGTAAATGTGGTTTTTGGTTACATGGATGAATTGCATAGTGGTGAAGTCTGGGATTTCAGTGCACCCATCACCTGAGTAGTGTACATTGTACCCAGTAGGTAGTTTTTCAATCCTCACCCCTTCCCCATACTCCTCCCTTCTGAGTTGCCAATGTCTGTGATATCTCTCTGTATGCCTTTGCGTACCCATGCGTTAGCTTCCACTTATAAACAGAACATGCAGTATTTGGTTTTCCATCCTTTGTTATTTCACCTGGAATAATGGCCTCCAGCTCTATCCAAGTTGCGGCAAAAGACATTATTTTGTTCTTTTATATGGCTGAGTAGTATTCCATGCTGTGTGTGTGTGTGTATATATATATATATATATGTATGTGTGTGTGTGTACACTGTATGTGTGTGTATACACACACACACATATATACATATATATACCACATTTTCTTTATACACTCATCAGTTGATGGGCACTTATGTTGATTTTGTATCTTTGCAATTGTGCTGCAATAAATATACATGTGCAGGTGTCTTTTTGACATAATGACTTCTCTTCCTTTGGGTAGATACCCAGCAGTGGGATTGCTGGATCAATTGGTAGATCTACTTTTAGTTCCTTAAGAAATCTCCGTACTGTTTTCTATAGAGGTTGTACTAATTTACATTCACACCAGCAGTGGGTATAAGAGTTCGCTTTTCCCTACATCCACACCAGTATCTGTTGTTTTTTGACTTTTTGATAATGGCCATTCTGGCTAGGGTAAGGCAGTATCTCACTGCAGTTTTAATTTGTGTTTACCCTACAATTATTGATAGTGAGCATTTTTTCATTATGTTTGTTGGCCATTTATCTGCCTTCTTTTGAGAAATGTCTATTCACACCATTTGTCCACTTTTTAATGAGATTATTTGTTGCTGTTGTTGTTGTTGTTGTTGTTTTTCCTTGCTGATTTGTTTGAGTTCCTTGTAGATTCTGGATATTAGTCCTTTGTCAGATGCATAGTTTGCAAATATTTTCACCCATTCTGTAGGTTGTCTGTTTACTCTGATGATTGTTTCTTTTGCTGGGTAGAAGTATTTTAGTTTAATTAGGTTCCATTTATTTATTTATTTATTTATTTATTTTTGTTGTATTTGCTTTTGAGGGCTTAGTCAGAAATTCTTTGCCTAAGCCAATGTCCAGAAGAGTTTTTCCTAGGTTTTCTTCTAGAATATTTATGGTGTCAGGTCTTATGTTTAAAGTCTTTAATTCATCTTGGGTTAATTTTTGTGTATGGTCAGAGACAGGGATAGTTTCATTCTATATGTGGCTATCCAATTTTCCCAGCACCATTTATTGAATAGGGCAGGGGTCCCGAACCCCTGAACCATGGACTAGTACCTGTCCATGGCCTGTTAGGAACCAGGTGACACAGCAGGAGGTAAACAGGGGGGAAGCAAGCATTACCGCTTGAGCTCTGCCTCTTTTCACTTCAGCAGGGACATCAGACTCTCATGGGAACTCGAACTCTATTGTAAACTGTGAATGCAAGGGATCTAGGTTGCACACTCCTTATGAGAAGCTAATGCCTAATGATCTGAGGTCAAACAGTTTTATTCCAAAACCA